AAGGTGATCAAACTCAGGAAGGACCGAGGAAGCGAGCAAGGACCAAACGAAATTGATAGCAAAGATATGTAACATAGAGTTTTTCAGCTTAAAGAAATGTAGCACCCCCTTTCAAGGCCGAAAGGCAAATGAAATAAACATTATTATTATACTCAAAGAATACCTTAAGTGCTTCATGACCAAGGAGGATAATTGGGATTGTTTAATAGAACGGGCTAGTTTCTCGTACAACACCTCCGTACACGAAGGTACTGGTTATAGCCCGCACGAGTTAGTATTCGGAACGTCGGCTCGTATCCCTTCTAGTTATTGCAACGAGCCCGACCCCGACACCTACAGTTCCTACTTGACGGATCTGTTCTTGAAAATCAGAGATTTACAAGATACCGCAAAAGGTAATATAGAAAGAGCCAAGCAAAGGTCCAAAGAGTATTACGACAAGCGGGCCCGACCCGCCACATTTCACGTTAACGAATACGTCTATCTCCAAAACAATCGTCCCGCCTTCTAAAAATTCGATCCCGAGTATTTAGGCCCGTATCAGATAACAGAAATCATGGATCGTGAGAACGTCCGAATCCAAATAGGGAAGAGCAGTCGAGTTGTGCATGCCAACCGCCTTCGAACGGCTTGGCACGTCGAACCAGGATGATCTGTCCAGTGTCATACGCAGGCTTCAAATCTCACCGGTATCCGTAGTCACTATAATCAAACGCCTAGAAGGTTAGGCACGCTAGCGTTCAAATTGCTGAACAGCACGATTTTCTTTTCTTTTCTCTTTTTCGTTTACTAACCACTGCTCCTCATATACGTTCCTTATATTGATTGTCAGTTTTATTATATTATAACAACTTAAGGAAAATTACGTATCAATAATATGTCAAATGCGGTCGCTAAGAGCGTTACAATTTAAGTTAACCGTATAATTGTCGCGAAATAATGATGTTTTAGTTTATGCGTTATTACATATATTTTCTTTTTCCTTTTCTCTCTTTTCGTCACGTGTCCGTGCAATACGTCGTCAAATCTTAACGCGTTGTTGTGGGACGACAAACCAGCGAGGTAACGACGCGAGAGAAATCACTCACTCGATTAACGTGCGGCGGATGAATGAGTTAAATTCGACTGGGTTGCCGACCGTTCGGCTCATTGACTCGGCGTTCAAATCAATGAGCGACTTTAGTTGTAAGCCAAACTTCGTTAATAATATAATAATTCATTATTTCAGCTTTTTACAGCCAAGAAAGGACTTGGTTTACAAATTGACTTAGCACACTCATCCATCCATACCTTCGCTACTATAACTACCTCTCCCTATCCACTATTCACTATTCGGACGCATTTTCATTATCCCCCATCTTGTCCCTATCCTCTTCTAATTTCTTTCTCTTTTCTTTTTCTCTCCATAATTTTAAAAGTACTTTCCCTTTTTCCTCATTTAAATTGTCCTCGCATAGAATTGCCACTTTTTCCCGTCTGTTCCCATCAATGTTATTGAACCACTCTTTTACCTTAACGCATTCCTCTACATAGTGCTCTAAACTATCCTCCCTATCCTTATAGAATTTACATTTTCTCTCTTCTTCCCCCAACCAGTACTTGTTCTTATCCTCTAAATTTCCGCATCTCAATTTTATTAGCGCTCTAATTTCGTCTCCCCCCCTATTATTCCTTACATGTGAGTTACTCAGATACCTGGGACATCCCCATCTCATTTCTATCTCTTTGTATCTCTCATTATATCTGGCATTTTCAATCTTCCCTTCAATCATTTGCATTAAATTATCTCTGTCCCTTTCCTCCAGTAACTCCTCCAGATTTCTATTTTCCTCCCTTAACTTCTTTATAGCCTCTAGACTCCATCCATTCCTGTTATAATATTTTTCTCTTTCTGACCTATATAATCCCTTATTCTTATCTCCACTTTTGTCTATTTCTTTCCAACACAGTCTCACCCAACTATTCTCCTCTCTTTTCCTACACCTCTCCTCATACCTTACCGCTCTTATGCCCCATCTAATCATTAATTTCTTCAAAACCTAATTCCCTCAGTATCACATACCTCTGCGTGCAGAAATCCAACCTATAAACCCATCTCACATAATCTAATATTATTTTTTCTAGTTCCTTTTTTCACTCCATCCCCATACCTCTACCCCATATTCCATTACACTTCTTACCAGATACTTAAACAAATTCCATCTTCTACTAAAGTCATTCCTACATATTTTTTCTCCTAAACCCCATACCTTATTTGCAGCTAATCTTCCCTTTCTTATTAACTCTTGAATATGTCCCTTGTAATTTCCGTTCCTGTTAAATGTAAACCCCAGGTATCTGTAGTTCTCTACTTCCTCTATTTCTTTGTTTCCCCACTTCCAACCTTTTCTATCTTTCTTCCCCCTACTATTAAATACTATTAATTTGGTTTTCTCTGTACATAATTCCATTTTTCTGTCTTTTAAGAACCTCTTCAGCGTGTCCATCATGTCTATCATCGCTGGCCTGTTTTTTGCTGATAGGACCATATCGTCCGCATACGTTAGAATCCATAATCTTTTGTTACCTATACAAATGCCCCCTACATCTCGCTTTTTCATATAACTGGCTATATCCGCAATATATAAATTAAAGAGGGTTGGACTCAGCACACACCCCTGTCTCACTCCTTTGCTTGTAAAAAGTTCCTTTGTGTATCCTTCTTTAGTCCTTATCGTTTCCTGTTTCCTCGTAGATCTTCTTTATCCTATCTATCACAGTGCTACTTATCCTTTTTTCTTCCATTATCTCCCACAATCTCCTCCTATCCACATTGTCAAAAGCTGCTTTTAGGTCCACGAATAATGCCAACACCTTCCTGTCCTCCTTTCCTCTTTCTCTCTGTACTATGTGATTCAGTATGAAGATGTTGTCCATCGTGGACCTTCCTCTTCTAAAACCTGCTTGGCTCTCCGGAATGACTCCTTTCTCCTCTAATTCTGTCTCCAACCTTTTTCTCAGGACTTCTGCGTATATCTTATACGCCGAGCACAGTAGTGATATGCCTCTGTAGTTACTCACTTTCTCTTTATCACCTCTTTTATACAGTGGCACCACTATGCTCTTCTTCCAATCCTCCGGCAGGTTTCCTTCCATCCAAACTTGCTTCATCAGCTTTATCAGAAACCTGCCGATTGGTTGTCCTCCAAAACGCCAAGCCTCTGCAGGTATTCCGTTCCTACCGCCTTCCCTAGTCTCATCTTGTTAGCTGCTTCTATTATTTCGTCATCCTTTAGTTCCATCTCTTCTGTCTCCTCATACCCTTCTCCTCTTCTCCTGTTCTTTTTGGCTTCCTCTGTCCTATCTATCCTTTTCTCTTCATTTTTTGTTTCCTCTTCCGCTCCAAGAAGTTCTTTGAAGTACTCTCTCCATGTCCCCGCATGTATGTTATTTTCCGTCCATTTCCTCTTTTCTCTTCTCATATTAATAAACTTCCATATATCTTTTTCGCTTTTCAGCTCTCTTAATTCATCCTCTTCTTTTTCTCTTCTTTCTCTTTTTTTATCACCTAACCACTCTCTCACAATCAGTTCTCTTCTTCTTTTAGTTACTTCTTCCCTTGTACATCTTCCAGTTCGCCATTTTCTATACCACCTCTTGAGTTCCCTCTTCTTCCTCGTGCAGCTTCTGTCCCACCAATCTTTATATCCTATTTTCCTTTTCTTTCTTTTTCCTACTACTTTATATACCATTGCCTTATCCACAATTTCCTTACCCCATTTCCATTGTTCATCTACTGTCGCGTCCTCCACTATCTCTGTCTTTGCCATTTTCTCAATATTCTCCGTATATTTTAGCTTAGCATCTCCATCCCATAATATTATCTTCCTTTCTCTGTCTTGTTCTTCCTCCTCTGCTTCTTCTGCCTCATCTTCTTCTTCTTCTTCCTTGCCCCCAGGTTCCTTCATTTCCACTACCAGCGGCATGTGGTCCGAGTCCACCCTCTCGCCTATACTAAATTTTACAATTTTCTGTTTTATTAGTTCGTTAACAATTACATAGTCAATAACCGAACTACCTCTAGCACCTACATACGTAAATTCTCCTTCCCAATCCCCCTCAGTTTTTCCGTTCAGCATATACCATCCTCTTTCCTGTATCGCATTTACGAAATTCTTCCCCCCGTTTCCTATTATCTTGTCCCTACTACACCTTTCCATTTCCATTATTTCGCTTCTGTCCCCTCCTAGTTCACCTGTTCTTATATTAAAATCGCCTCCTA